CTTATATCACTTTCTTGCTGCTTTGAGCCCCACGTGTGATAAGGTCCTTAGATGGGGCCACGCAAGGATCACTGGGGTGGGCTATTTGTACTCGAGGCGGGAGAAATTAATCTGGAAAGGCCTGCCAGAAGAGATCCGTCTTGACAGCCTTTGTAAAGCTGTCTAGAGATGTTAACTGGTGGATCTCGTCCGGCAGGTCGTTCCAGAATCTAGGGGGGCAACTGAAAAAGCACTCCGGGAGATAGCCACAAGCCTCGATTTTCGAGGCTGTAGCAAATTCCTCCCGGAGGACCGGAAAGCGCGGGAAGGATTGTATGGGAGAAGGCAATCCCTGAGATAGCTTGGACCCAAGCCATTTAGGGCTTTAAGGTGTTGTATAAGGTGTTGGTTATGACCTTTAAAGCCCTACATGGCGTGGGTCCAACTTATCTCCGGGACTATCTCCTTCCGTATGAGCATTTCGGTCCTCTGGGAGGAATCTGCTACAGCCGGTGAAAACTAGGCTGTCAGCAACCTCCCAGAGGGCCTTCTCTGCCGTCGCTCCCTATGGAATGGCCTGCCAGATGAGATCTGTCTCATTATCACTCTAGACAGCTTCAAAAAAGCTGTCAAGACAGATCTCTTCTGGCAGGCCTTCCCCGACTAGCTTTCCCAGTCCTAGGATCAGCCCCCAGCCCCCGGAGCTGCCATCGAACCACTTAACCCGCTGTGTTACTCCTCTTTGCATGATTTGATTTTATTGTATCTTGTGTTTTAAAAATTGACTAGTTTAATACTTTTTTAAGGGGAGGGTGGGTTAGGGAATTGTTGTATTGGATGTTTTTAATGTGTAAGCTGCCCCGATTGCGCTGCAGAGGGGCAGGATAAAAATAAATTTTATTATTATTATTATTATTATTATTATTATTATTATTATTATTATAGTGCCTCACAAAAGTACAGATCCCACTATTCGGTAGAATGGAACCATGGCAGTTAAAGTGGTTCCAAACTGCATTATTTCTACAGTGTAGATGCACCCAGAAAGAGAGAGCATGCATTACCATTAGCCGGAAGCTGAGAAAAGAAAGAAAAAAGAGAGGGTCTGGGAAAGAACGGAAAAGATGAAAGTTGGAAGGAGTTGGAGGAAGAAAAAGGAAAAGAAGATGAGGGGGATTCTGATTGGGTGGTCCAAAATGTTAACCAAAAATTGAAGGGGAGTCAGGCAATTTTTCAGGTATCCTGAGCAGATTTAGGGACCACACAATGCATCTCTCCCACAGGCCACACTTTCTCTATCCCTGGCCTTAAATATACTCCATTTTCTGAAGGCAGTCCATCAGCATTTTTTCTTAGGCAGCAAGACATCTAAATTATTTTGCAATGAGATGAGGAAAGCTGATTTAAATTGGCTGATCTAGAATAGACCAAACTTGGCTAGTACTGTTACAAACAGTGCCCTGGCATAATTGCTGAAGGAGCCTAGAGTAGTGCCACTTAATAAGAGCCAAAAGAAAATATTTGCCAACATGTCTTCACAAAAACATGTTCCACTATGAAGCCTTCATTCTGCAGTAAGCCAAACCACACCTGTACTCCTTTTCAGTTCACAGAGTGACATACACCATCATAAAGCATAAAGCAATAATATAGAAGAACCTAGAAGGGATTGTGTAGGTTAAACTCTTGTGAAAGAGAGAATGAAAGGAAGGGGTATGAGTTGGGCAGCAAATTTGTTCTGAGGTTTCATCTAAACTTTAAAGGAGCTATCCAAGGAATATGTACAGTGCACACTACACTATTATAGTGCTAGTATCCCACTTTGGCTGCCATGGCAACATCCTATAGATTCCTGGGATTTGTAGTTGGGGGAGGCATTTAGAAATTTTACCCAGAGAGTTCTTAGGCCTCACTAAACCACAAAGCCCAGAATTCTACTGGAGGAAGCCTTAGCAGTTAACGTGGAATAATCATGCTATAACAGTGTAGTGTGATATTGTCCTTAGTGATAAGCTTCCGTACCTTGGCAACCTCATTTGCCATTCAGAGTAAATCTCAGAGTGGTTTTGCCATCCAAACAACATGGGAACAACACTGAACACTGATATTTAAAATGACAGGTGGTGCTCAGAATGCTATACTGACAAATACTTTAAAACGTCATCTTGTTGTGTGCCTTCAAATCATTTCTGACTTATAGCAACCCTAAAGTGAACCTATCATGGGATTTTCTTTGTAAGATTTATTCAGAGGGGGTTTGCTATTGCCACCCTCTGAGGCTCTGAGAGTAAGACTTGCCCAAGGTCACCCAATGAGTTTACATGGCCAAATTGGGATTCGAACCCTGGTCTCTAGAGCCCTAGTCTAATACTCAAACCACCACACCACACTGGCTCCACCTTTAAAACTAAGGGGAAGAATTTAGACAAATTCCATATAAATAAACCGAGTTCTGCACTTGCACATGAGATCTGTGCACGGGAAACAAGGGGCAGCCCCACTCAGCTAGACTTGTTGAGGTTGGAAGCATCCAACATTCAGTGCATTCAGTTTTTCCTCCCATTGCTGATGTGATGATGAAAAGAATCAATAAACCACCTTCCTTTCCTTTGTTGGCTTTCCCCTAAAGCTTATGGCACAGCTTGCTTGCTTGAGCCATCTGGCTCGCTAAACTTATTTCTCCTTCTGTTGGCAGGAACACATGGTGACAGACTAAGTGGAACCGGCCAGACAAGTTGGCTGAGCCATCCAAGGTCCACAATGGGAAGCAAGCAGAGCTGGGAAGATTCTCTTGTCAGGAAACTAATGAAAAGCAGAACCTTCAAGACTGCTCGAATGGGGAAAGAGGGAAAGGCTACATTGGAAAAGGTCATTAATAAGGAATTTTAGGCTTTATTCAGATGGTGAAAATAATCCAGCTAGAATCTGGATTGAACCTTTGTTGTTCACATGCATTTCAAATGCATCAATTATGTTTGTGGGGTGGGTGGCTGCCCAAAAAAACATTTAACCTGGGATAATTAATGTTGGAGGTTTTTCCAATTGTTTTTCCTAAAAGATTTGCATTCTCAGATGTGTGAATAATTGATGTGAATAGACCCAGGATAAACTGGGATAAAATTCTGCATGCCTTGAACGTGTTTCTGAATATATTTTCATCATTGACTCCATCTTTATTTGAGTGTTGATATGTGTGAGCAACCAAACTCCCAGAGGTGTGCATAGATGTAATTCCATAGTGTGAATAACAAACCCGGAATGCATGAGTGAGATTATTCACATAGTCACATTCAAAACAACAACAGAGGCAGAGAACTGAGGCACCAGCCACTGCTGCCACTAAGAGGAGCATATTTCTGACAGATCTGGGGGAATCATTGGCAAACCATGACTTAAGTACATGGACAAATAGCACTGGGCCTATGAGACCATCATATGCCTGGATCATTTTGATGTATTTATGTTTTACTGATGTTGTTTTATTTAAGTTGTAGGTTGCCTTGAGCCCCCATTGGGCAGAGGGACAATTAGGAAATATATCAAACAAAGAAAGAAACTCCAGTTGTATTTTCTTTTCTTCCTTTGGAAGATACATACATCTTCCAAAAAGCAGATCAGGGATGTTATTTTAACCACAAGTACAAGGTAGTGGGATTTTCACTGGTGACATTTCACTGGAAATAATCAGGTTTTTTCTGTGTGTCTTTCTTCTCCCTTTCTCTTTCATTCTTTTATGCCCTAGTTTTCTTTTCAAAGCAATCAGGACAGGTAACATAGTCCCACTTTATTCCCTGAGGTGGACTATACTTCAAGAGAAAGAATGTGACAGACCCAAAGTCTCTGTTTCATGACCAGATCAAGATCTGAACTATTTTAACACACAATATCCATGACAGGAATCATACAGTTCTCCAGATGTTGTTGGACTGTCAGTTCCAGCAGGCCTAGCCAGCATGGCCAATGGTGAGCAATGCTGGGAGTTAGGAAGTCATAATTGCACTGTCTTAATGAGAGTTAGTTCTCTGTGTGTGTTGTGTGCCTTCAAGTCGTTTCTGACTTATGGTAACCCTATCATAGGGTTTTCTTGGCAGGATTTGTTCAGAGTAGGTTTGCCATTGCCCAAGGCCACCTAGTGGGTTTCATGGCTAAACTGGGAATTGAACCCTAGTCTCCAGAGAGCGCATGGACTTTCATTCTCAGACTAGACACGGGATGTGAACACATGGGGACAGATACTATCTCACAGATTTGTCCCCAGGCAGTATTCATCCCATACGTGATCCAGGCTTCTCCTGGACCTTTGAAAGAATGGAATTTTCCTATTCTTTCAAAGGTCCAGAAGAAGCCCAGGTCACGTACAGGATGAGGACTGCCCAGGGACGGAGCTGTACGATAGTATCCCCGTGTGTTTACATCCTGCACATAGCACAGGAATTAAAGCCCATGCACTAATCTCCATAGTCCAACACTCAAACCATTACACCATGCTAGAGATGATATAATCGCATGCTGGTTTTAAATGGAAAATGTAGTTTGATCCCTTTTATGGGAACTACTGTTCTGTCTTACCTGGAGGACAAGGAAGAGGAAAGCCAAGATCACAAGCTCCCATCAGAGCCAGAAAAGGCTGGCAGTCCTGCCCTGAAACTGCTAAAAATAGAGCCCAGACTACCCCACACAGCTCCTGAAAATCACAAAGTAGACACAGAGCAACTTCATTCTGTGGAGCATCCTAGACTGACCCTGATATTTCCTGAAATAAAAACTGTGTGCTAGTTAGACAGTTGTGCTGATTTACAGTCAGCTATAAATTAGCACAGCCAAGGCTATTCCTTTGCTGCAAGTAACAGCTCCACACTCTCTTGTCTGATGTTTCTTGCTCTGTTGATCTTTGGTGTATGGATTACTCTCTCCAGTAACCCCCTAACTGGCTCTGGGCCTTACAAAATACAGCTTTTCATGTTTGGTATCCAGACTATCTGTATCACATTCCTGCTTTCACCAACACTCTGTCTATAACCCTGGACTGTCTTGGGTCTATTTATGTGGCCTATAGGTACATTCACCTGGACTCTTGCTATTCTTGAAGAGAATAACCACTGTTGAGACATGAAAGTTCTCCTTTTTAAGGGAGCAAATGGACTCACTGCAGTATGGGGGCACTGTTTTATAGTGGCTTTTTCGTGCTTGTCTTCTTGATTATTGGCCTGTGAGGTACCTTGCTATAAGAAACACACAACTCCCTTGTTGCAATGGCTTCACTGGCTGCCACCCCATTTCATGGCACAATTCAAAGTGCTGATTTTGAAGGACCCCATTCTCCATTATGAACCTGGGGACGCCCTTATCTTGGCCCCACCACCCTCAGTGGGAACATGGAAGAGGGCCTTTCAATGGCTGTCCCCAGGCTCTCAACCAACCTTCCCAAAGAAGTTAGATTGGCACCCTCCTGTTTTCCTTTTACAGACTTTTCTGTTTACACGGGCATTTATTGAGTGATTTCTAAAATACGTGTCACCAAAATAATGTGCTGGATCCTAATCATTGTTGTGCTCATGTATGTGTGTTGGAGTGTGTGTGTGCTTAATGATATATGTTTTAATTTAGCTTTAATTTTATTTATTGTTTCAGCTCTTTTTAACTTTTGAATTTTGAATATTTTTAATTTGTCATAAGTCATTTTGAGTCCCAAACTGCAAAGACGGTAGGATAAACTGAAAAGAAGACAAAGATGAAGAAGTAGTAGTAGTAACTTCAGCTCATAGATTTGTACAGGTATCTGAATACTAGAAAGCAGAGAGGGATGAGAATATCAGACAGCAGCTTCCTCAGCAACAGATGATCAGACCTACGTCGACCATAGCAACTGTGTCCCAATAAGTAGAGATGGGGGAGTTGGGCAGAAATGTATGGCATAGCTCTTGTGACTACAGCAGTTACACTTTCATAATTGCCCAAAAAGCTATTCAGCAGCCAATACATGGTGGGTATCCAGGCAGGTGACGTCTGCTCTTTTCTCCTGTCTGCAAATGTGCAGCCAGATGCTCTTCCTCAACCTGTAAATGACCATGAGGCCATGGTGTGTTGCTTGGAAACTGCCTTTTTTGGGGGGGGGGTGTTGATAGAAGAGCCACAAAGAACTCCGCTGGAGGAGCATTGTGCTCTGCAAGTGCAATATAAAATCATAAAACCCTTAGCTTTTCTTCCAAGCTCTGGAAAAATATGGATTTTCCCCCAAGTGAAACTTACAGCATTAATATAGTCTCTCTGTTTGGGGAATGTTTTTCTGAACTGTGTAAGACTGACTCCATAATATGTAGCCATGGCAGCTAAAGTGGATTATAGTGCTCTCGTAATTGTCTAGTGTGAAAGGGCCCTGTCTTTGTGTGCATAATCTGGTGGGCACAGAGGACCAAATAAGGAGTGGGGAAACCTTCTCCAAAATGTGTGTTAAGACTTTTATTACTCCTGGAAGGTACAGAGAAAAACCTACAAATCATGATGGATGGCTTTTGTTATAAAATGCAAATATTTTCAGCACAGCTTTTCTGTGTTTTACGGAATGATAGGAGCGTGCAAAGCCACAAAATGTATGCCATGTCACACTGCATTGTTTCACACACAACTCCTAGGAGATCAACAAGGCTTTGACTGCATGCTTTCAAATGGCGTTCATGGATGCACACCTAATCGGGACTCATAACATAATGTCCCCTTTTTGTTCATCCACCTATTTCTTTTAATGCTTCTGTCCTGCAGATATCTTTAAGAAACTAAAAATAGGCAAAGAGAACCATGTGACAATCCTCAGGACATGAGAAAGCACATAAAAGATACTGAGTGTCGGTTCTGGTTTCCTTGGAAATAATAGTAGTAGTAATTCTTGAATGTGATGCTGTAAATTGGTGAGATCTAAAAATGGCCATTGTTCTCCAAAACATTCCAGGAATATCCATGGGCGGCATGAAAGCTGACTACAAAGGAAATAAACTGCTTTAGTTCCTCATGAGCTATTTCAGTGTTTGCAGGGATACAACGCAGCCAACATGCTTGCTTTTATGGGGCCAACTTGTTGATGGAAATTAGAGAGAGAGAAAGATTGGGAGAGCATCCAGGCATACACAATTTTTCTAAAGCTGAGATGCAAAAGTAAAAGATTTCTAATGTCTGGAAAGAAATAAGGACAAGGAGAAGGGAGAGGAATGAGGCAAGGGAAGCCTTGCTTTGTTACGTGATTGTTGCTTTGCACACTGTAGCTCACTGGCGGATGGGTAGATGATATGAATGTGAATATCTTTCATCCAGGTTGATGTTGAGCTTAACAACAGAGCTACACTGCTTCCTGCTGTGCAGTTTACAAGCTGCAGAAGTCAGATGTGTAATAAATTCAGATA